TGTTTTGAAAAATGAACAGCTAACTGGAGGTGATCCAGCTGAAGGTAAGATGCTTATGAACTAGGTGAAAACTCGTCAACAAGAATATACAATTCATGATCATTGGATTGGTTTGAGGGAAAATCTACAGGAATCCATGGTTATTACCAGCAAATATAGGGGTTTCCTGTAATTTTTCCCTTAAACCAATCCAATGAAATGAGGTGCAGACTATCCCAGTTGCAGTACTAATCATTTGCTAACTTCAAGGATCCTCAAAGTGAGAGTTCTAACCATTTTCCCTATATTTTTCGCCAAAGGAGTGGATTTGAAATTCTCCAAAACCCAACTTGTTACCCACTTATATGATACTGTGGATGGAAGAAATCCTGCACCACCTTGGATGGTTGAAACCCTAGTAATAATGGGATAAACCATATATCAACTGGTGCAGGATTTCTTCCATCCACAGTATGTATTGATATGTGGGTAAATTTGATTTCTTTGCTGAACTGTTTTTGTTCCTGTTGTAAATGCATGAATCTTACCATGTCCAGCCAGGCTTAAATCCTTATTTGTCCGGCCAGACGTGCAAAGTTTCCCAAGTCAGACGGATATAATCTATATTCAACGGCATGCATATCATATACGAATACTAATATGTATATGTTCATACATATATATATATATACATATATATATATATATACATATTGTTTTTAATATACATACATATATTCATATGGACTGTATGTGTACGTGTATTATCTGCATTGTGTAGTGTATTACATAAATTTATTAATTTATGCGTTAATGTATTTTGACACACATACATAAATATATAATATAATATATAGAATAGATACACATTTATAGATTTTCAATAGGTAATAAACTAATATTATACATATATATATATTCAGTATTTTCATGTATTTTCAAATCTACCTGATTTCACTTCCCAATAAACATGCCAGGGTCGCCGCACCAGGCGGGTGTCCACATCTTGCCGACCGACGACGCCACGGAGCTGGCGTTCTTCGAGGCGCTGGCGGAGATGTCGAGCGAGTCGAGCGATGGCTGCGGAGAGGAAAAAGAGGCGGACGTCGCACATTGGAATACCATAGGAAAACCATAGGAAAACCATAGGAAAACCATAGGAAAATGGTGGTTTAATGGGATTTAATGGGATATAACCTCTGGTAAACTAACATAGCTATGGAAAATCACAATTGTTCATGGGAAAATTCACTATAAATGGTGATTTTCCATAGTTATGTTAAATTACCAGAGGGTATATATAGTATCTGCATGGTTGGTGGTTTTGAAACATGACTTTTATTTATGACTATTGGAGGAGTACCTCCTAATTAATAAACCATGGATTGCCAAGAGCAATAAATTGGCGGAAGATTTGTTTGGCCTAGGCGATGACTAGATGTGGCAGCTGCGCTGGAAAAAAGATACCGAAGTGCCAATTGCATTGCATTGCGCATCATGAATTCATATCTATAACAAGAACATATTCTAGAATATCTGGTTCCATAAATAGAATATTTAACTTAACATTTGACCAAGAAATAATATAATTTATCTACCTTAATATACGCTAATAAACGCTAATATACGCTAATACCCCTCATGATACTTGACAGAAGGCTCCCATAACTTGCAACCAAATTTAGCAAAATCCGGGGTTGACATTATAGCTGGTTGGTGGTTTTGAAACATGACTTTTATGTTCCATTTCATATATGGGATGTCATCCTTTCCATTGACGAACTCATATTTTTCAAGATGGTTAAAACCACCAACGAGGTATCATAAAAATCTTAGAGCCACACACTGTACCATGGCCAAAACAATTGTTTATCATGTTTTCTTATCATTTCAAAGTATCATTCTGAAAACAATTTGTTTGCCAATATAATTGATATATATATATAATAGTACTTAGTATGTGATTTGTAGATTATATGTAGTATGTAATCTGTAGATAATCCACTATAATAATCCATGTCTTATGACTAATCCATTGGAATAGTCATATGGAGGTTTCCTAAGATAGTGGTTAATGGCTATTAATGCCTATTAATAATGAGTATTAGTGGTTCAGAAGGGCTATTCATAATGGTTGATGATGCTCAAAAGGAAACTATACACATAGTTTAGCGGATGTATGTCATACACCTAGCAGGCATGCCAGGAATGGAGCCAACCATCGTACACTTCTACAACTAATTATTGCAATGGCAAATCTTCATCAGTAATATGATAATAGTAGTAGTAATTATAGTGACATACTTATAGCAACAGTAATAATAGTAGTAACAAGAGAAAATGCGGTAATATCACTGTATGATAGTAGTAATAATGGTAATAACATTGGTATCATCGTAACGGTTATAGTATTGTTTACGGTAATATATGTTCAAAATACTGAAATAAGAATAAGATAGAATAAGTGGTTATGGCAATATTATAGAGGTAAATGTAATGGAAATCATAGTTTTTCCTGTCAAAGACACAACTATTGAATATGAAGTAGCTAAAACATGTCTAGAACTAACAAAAATCTCTAGAACATACATGTCTATTATTACTAATATGAACTAACCAAAAACATGTGTAGGAATAGCCCTTCTTCATCATTAGAAAAGCTACTGAGATATGATCCCATCTCCCAACACCGCCATTCAATGGTCCCAAATAAGTGTTCCCTGCTAAACCATGGTTTCTTGGATGGTTTAATACTAGGGGGAAGGGATTAGTGTAATCACAATTTGAATATGTTTGTTAGTCAAAAATATATATGTTTGTTTAGCAAAAAAGGGGACACATGGTTTATGGTGTCAGATATATTCTCTTTGCCATGACTATTTGAAATGGTTATCCTGATTGACCCAGAAATTTGTGGGAGATTGTAGAATTTAATGCAACCCTCCACATGACATGTTCCAACACTTATTGTCTCACCCTGTCGGCCTGGTAAAACCCCCCCTTAACATTTTTGTTACGGTCTGAATGCCCTCCAAACCCACACATCATTTAGTTTTTCCAAAACCTCATTCCATTTTTCGGTCCCTAACTTCAAGGTGCCCCAGAGATAGATAAGGTGGTTTATAACTCCAATAACTAGGACGACTTAATTGGGTTCTAAACCAATTAACAACTGGGGGGGCACCACATTGTGGAATAACTCCGTTTGCACAAAAAAAAGGATGGGAACTGAATGGAGCTACAGTTGGTAATCATATCTGAGGATATATCCATAGTTGGTAACAAACTGCATGTTCGTTCTTGAATCAATGGGAATTCCAGGATCCTAAAATGGAGGTGCTGTACCATATTGTTGGCCATATTTTTTGGGGGATATCCCCTTACATAGCCCTGAAAAATAGGCCTTATATATGGCAGGTAACCAGGTACCTCCAATCAATCGGATCCTGAAATGGCCATTGATCATTCCCCATGAAATTAGAGATTCCCACCATGTTTGGACATGTTTGGTATATAAAACTATATAAAAGATCCTGAAATTCCCATTGATTGAAAGCCTCCATTTTTCAGCACTCGCCTGGGCCTGATGATTTTTTCCCAGGTCCTCTGGCAGAGCTGAGCTTCGAAAAACGGAGGAGCAGAGGGTGCACCTTGCGGCTTTGGTGCCACAGATATGCATGTTTAATGGGATGTTTTAAGGGATCTTAATGGATGTTAATGGATGTTAATGGGATTGTTAATGGATCTTAATGAAATTTAATGGGATTTTTAATGGATCTTATGGATTTGTTGGGGAACTTATATGGGATTATCAATGAATTTTGATGGAATTTAAAGGGGATTTCATGATTGTGTAATGGGAATCATTGATGCTCATACCAACCATGTATCGTATATTTATGTACATGGGGTGTTCTCAACGGGAATTTCAGGATCCGATTGATTGGAGGTACCTACCTTATAGAAGGCCTATTGTTCAGGCCTATGTAAGGGAATATACCCCGCAAAATATGGACTTATATGATACAGTACCTCCATTTTAGGATCCTGGAATGACCATTGATGTTCATGGAGCATCTGGGACAGGACATAAGTTTGTCTGAAAATAAGGTACTCCAAAGTCACATTGCTGATGGATTTGTTGTTCATAGCGTGGTTTTGCAGATATTCCCGATTTTCAGGCAAACCGTGTCACACCCATTTATGAAAATGTGAATGTGCTTGTTCTTTAGAAACAAGTCCAAGTTGTAAGACCTGCAAGACCTGTTAATACACAATGATCTCAAGGAATACTGTAGGGGATTGAAGGCACTGACCAGCCCATTGAGCAACTGGTTTATAACCCTTTCATAAGCCTTACAGCACCCTTATATAACCAATATCCAACCCATGCATGCATATATATATATATATATATACATATATATATACATACATATATATATACGGGGTTAAATTATAACCACCTCACTGCAACCTCGCGGAAATGATGATTAGTAAGGGAAATCATCAAAAGACTGGGAGCCTTACTTCAGGTGAGTGTCTTTTTTACACTTTACCACATATATAGTTTTTTTTTCAGAAGAAATATTATCTACAGAACTATTGTTCCAATAATTGTCACCAACTATTGAATGGATCCTCAGATATTATTACCAACTATGGATAGATCCATTCAATCCCCAACCCAATGTTTTTTTGTATATAAAAGGATATATTCCACAATGTGGTGCCTCCCAGTTTTGCTCGTTGGTTTACAACACCATTATCTAGTGCGATATATCTACCATAAGTCCTATAGTTTAGCTATATACAAAGTTAGCTATCAAACAGGGGCACCACCATTATACACCCATTATATCCTATTACATCATCATTTTTGTTGGCTAAATCACCATTTTAGTAGTTTGTTTCATACATATACATATAATTAATATATATATATATATAAATGTATGTCTTAGATATGTGGTTATGGGTCAACAGCCTGGCTTAGATATGGGCTACACTAAAATAAAATACGCTGGGATAAAGATATGGATCTTTCTTCCTGCCGCGTTTTTTCTCCAGAGTTCTCCGGCAGGAGCCCGAGCCTCGGAGGCGACCATGGCGTGCCTTTTTTTTAATGTACTCTTTGGTGAGACCCTCTGGTGAATGATGGTTAATGATGGTTAATCATGGTTATTTCCGTAGGGATAATAATAATTAACCAATGGGTACAGGATGGGGCCCCACTAGTGATGTGAACGTTGGTTTATAACTCCAATTTCATTATGGTTTTTGTTGGATATATATCTATAATTACTGGGGTTTATAAACCAATTAACAATAATAACAATGATAATCCCCATGAACTAGTTCGTGAAATATCTACCAAAAACCATAGAAATCAACCACTTACAATGGTGAGACCCTCTGGTTAATGATGGTTAATAATGGTTAATCATGTTAGTATAGATGGTAATTTGTTACATAGCTATTGAAGCCATGGCCCAGTCAAAATAGTGGATTTACCCAGCTATAAAATGGTGATTTTCCATAGTTATGTAACAGTTTACCATAGGGAATATGTATTACGCCAGTAATATGATAGACTTTATGTAGCGTTCATATGTATACACTAAGTTATATGTATTGTAGTGTAGAGATATGATATATATATATAGTGTTCACAGTCTACTTCTCCACTTCTAGATTTCAACTTCTAGATGATGTTCCGAAAAACAACTTCTGGGCGAGTCGGATCTGCATCATTAGAGATTGGATTTTCTCCGTCGGTTTATCTTTTTGATGTCCTGTTCTTTAAACATGACCTTACTTGATCCATGTTTCTGAAGATCTGAAATCGTTAGGGAATATTGTTTGAAGCACATTCTAGGTCTGGGTCGAACAGTTCTAGCTTCAATGGGTGTTGGAACATATGATAAGTTGTCCGGAGATCTTGAAATGAACTGGTTGGTGGTTTGGAACATTTTTTATTTTTCCATATATTGGGAATAATCATCTCAACTGACGAACTCATATTTTTCAGAGAGGTAGGTATACCACCAACCAGTGAAAGTTGCCTAAAATGGGGGTACCCAAAAACCCTGTGTTTCAATACTAAAAGGCTCATCCATTGGATATACCGAAGATTTTGGTGTCGGGGCAATGTTCCAGCTTGTAGGACCGTTATTCAAACTTGACCATGACGTAGATGAAACAACCTAGATGAATTGGACATACTCCAGAAACGTGGGTGAAATATAGATAAACAAAATGGCTCACATTCCTCATTCGTCAATAATTAAAAGTTTGTTTTTGATAATAAGTTATAGCTTTATAGGGATGCAAACCCTCTGGGGTATGTGAACACAATCTACTTCTAGAACAAAGATAGCTATGGATATTTGACATCTAGAGAGTTTGTTCACTGATCCTTATGAGACTCCTCAGATA